GTCATTTTTGAGTCAATTTTCCTTTCAGATTCTGGAACTGCAGCAATGCTATAACACTGTAAGAAAATGTCTCTATTTTTAAAGTGTTTCTCTTCAATGAAATTAGCATAGATGAGAACACTCTTATTTATTTTGTACTTTTAATCTTTCTTTTCATAAAAGTCAAATTTAGCCTGACAATATTTCTTTAATGCTCTTAGAAAGGAGCATACCACACAAATTTTATGCTGCCTTAAAAGAATCTAAACTAGCAAATTCTCAGTTGAGCATGTCAAGCTTTGTAAGTGAATTGTAATATTTACAATTCCTTTGCTCTCTCTCACATCTCATAAGCCAATGTACACAGCTAGAGCAGGCTTTTAAGAAGTGTCATGGGACATGAGGTGAGCAGCACTTCTCCTGCCAGACAAAAGCAGCAAACCAGAATAAAAATGTGATATGTAAATACATGATGTTCTGGATTTGGTCTTTTTCACAGGAACATAAAAAAATAGTTTGTTGCCTTTGGTAAAATATGACAGAGTACAGGACCAATATTACTTTCACATACATACAATTTCTGCTGGGTCAGTGCTTAGATTTAAAAATCAGATCTTTGAACAAACACTCATCAGTCTAGGCCTTTATAGGCAATAAATGTAAATACATAATGGCACAATGTAACAAACTGTTTATGATACTGGGGACAAATTATCCCAACACCTTTTAGCAGTTCCTTTCACCTTCAGTTCTGATTTATTGCTATTCATCCTTTCTAAGTACTTAAAGTTTTGGAAGAAAAGTCTGGAATTTTCTTTTTATCTGATTTTGTTTGGAAAACATACTGTCATTCTTAGTAAAATCAATCAATGGAATCTAATAAGATTTTATTTCAAGAAAAGTAATAAAAAAGAACAGGATCAGGCTAACTGAATCAGCAGGGAGTTGACAAGTGGGCACCTCGGAGAGAAAAATGGGAAGAGTATCCAAATATATTGAATGCAATCTTACATGCATTGTGAATCAGAGAGTACAATTTCTGCTCTGTAATAAAAAACTGAATTTTAAGGTTCAACTTAATAAAGCCCCAAATTTTATTGGTACTACTAAGTTTCACGTGGCTTTAACTTGAAAGATGAGAAAAATAGTTTAGTTTTGTTTTTTTTTTTTTTTTAAAAAAAAGGAACCACACATGCTCTTGAATGATTTTGCATTTTAGGGGTTAGCATAGCTCTGGTTCTGAAGGCTGGAAACAGCCTTTAGGTAAGAGCCATATTAATCAAGTCCATGACATACATTTTAGATTTTTACTCAATCAGTGGGGTTTTTGCCACCATGTCCCTTCTGCCATGTTTTGTGCTGCATACCTTTGCTTCACCTATGAAAACAGTTTGTGAATTAAAACTAAATTAAGAACAGCTGAATTCAATTAGCTCTTTAAACCTAAAAATGGAAATGAAGAAAAATTTCCATGTTGTTTCTGGTACTTATGAGTACATGTCAAAACACAAGGAGAAGACAAATTAATCAATCAAGCTCATGTTGATTACAGTCATTTTTGAGTCAATTTTCCTTTCAGATTCTGGAACTGCAGCAATGCTATAACACTGTAAGAAAATGTCTCTATTTTTAAAGTGTTTCTCTTCAATGAAATTAGCATAGATGAGAACACTCTTATTTATTTTGTACTTTTAATCTTTCTTTTCATAAAAGTCAAATTTAGCCTGACAATATTTCTTTAATGCTCTTAGAAAGGAGCATACCACACAAATTTTATGCTGCCTTAAAAGAATCTAAACTAGCAAATTCTCAGTTGAGCATGTCAAGCTTTGTAAGTGAATTGTAATATTTACAATTCCTTTGCTCTCTCTCACATCTCATAAGCCAATGTACACAGCTAGAGCAGGCTTTTAAGAAGTGTCATGGGACATGAGGTGAGCAGCACTTCTCCTGCCAGACAAAAGCAGCAAACCAGAATAAAAATGTTTTTAATTCAGTAAACAAGTCAAGTTTGGGTCGATATATATTTCTGCCAACCCACACATCTATTTGTTCAGTCTTTATTGTTGTTTTTGTCCACATACTTGTGCAGAAACAGTCAGGTTTCTGCATGCTCCCAGTAAGTCCTAATGAAGAATCAAATTAACTCTCTTCACATCCATCTGGGGACAAAAGATAGCTACAGCTATTATATTCTAGCAGGTCTTGTGTTTATGGTCTTTCTATGAGCATACACAGATTCAGAAATTAATGTCTCTGGGGAGAAAACAAACAGCAAACCCCAAACTTACATCTCTGTCCAGAATTCGGCCAGTGCTATTTAAGTATAACCTCTGGCTGATAGGATCGAGGATCACCCAGTAATCTACGTTGTCCTTTAAGGAGAGTTCAATGGTGGGGTCAGGCCCTCCTGCGATCCCTTTGATGAGCATATTGTCAACCAGGACAGTGCCTGCAAAAACAATAAACACACGAGGGAGAAATTTATACGTGCATCTACATTTTTATGTATTTTCGTAACTGCAGCACTAAAAATACTGCTTTCTAACTAGGTTTTTCTGGTATTTTATGTTTTGAGTGATGTTTAAAAAGTCTGAACCTTATTATCTGTAATGAAAAACTGCCTCTGACACTGAAGCTATTTCAGACAATACTAGAAGCACTTGCAATGCACAATAATTTAAGTTGACAATGAGACCCATCATATACGGATATCTATCTAACACTATGAGTTTTTTCTCCATTGAGTAATCATCACCCAATCTCACCTCAAAGAAACAAAAGCACTGAAATAACAACTGAAACTGGAATAAATTTTCTACAGCAAGAGTGACACATCAAGGTGAGGGGAAAAAAAGAATAGTTACATAAAGCTCTCCAGGAAAAAAAGAGGTTTTGTACCTTGAGTTGCTCTGCACCAGAGGACTACATTGCAGCATAAAGAAGTGAAAACTATATCTACCAAGAGAAAGGTAGCACTTAATTAGGACCAGCCATTTATTCAACATATGTAACATGGTTTTTTTCTTCTCTTGTCCCATCCTGTCAGTTAAAAGTCTTGCCTAACAGCTCTATTAGTCAGTTCACAGTACCCACGATGTACGTAACTTCCTGTGTAAAACACTCCAACTTACTTTCCAAATGTCAAGCATTACTAACTACCCTAAACATTGCACTCCGGTGCCTCAGATTTGCATGCACTGTATTTATAAACACTTCTCTAAGATTTAATTTTTCTGAAAAATTAACACTACCCAGTTTTCTTCACACTGAAATATTAAAAGAAATGATCTTTGTTTAAGTTCACTGACAGTTATGAAGAAAATCTGTGAACATCACTAGCTGCAGAACATTTAAATTAGTTAAAAATATTTATCACATAACCTCCTGTATTAAGGGCCCAAATAATTTATTCCAAAGTGGAGAGTAAAGTTTCTTTACATCTTTGCTTTATAACAGCAGCGACTGTAGAAATATGTCCATCTGGGGGGAGCAGTTCTAAATTGGGCCAATGCTTTTTCTGGATAGAACAGTAAAACTAATTCGTGGTCTTAGCCACAGCAAACTGGTTTACAGACCTATTGAGGAAAACACCACAGTAACATTTTTTTCAGTCGTTTATTTTGAAACTACTTCTTATAACACAATAGAGATGATGGGAAGAAATACTACCAAATATCCGTAACTTTGCATCAAAGACTGGTTTCAACTTAGAGGAGCAATACCCTTTTAGCCACGAGAAACACAGATGCTACCCACGTGTTTTAGGGCTATCAGCACGATTTCTTGTGCAATACCATCTCTACAATTACACTCTGACCCAGTAGCCTGAACTTGCATACAACTTTCGGGAGACCACCACTAGTTTTAATGTAAAGAAGATTTCACCAGGAAAAACAAGCTGATTACCAACCCTGTGACAGTTCACAGTGTTTACGTCTAGTCACCAATGTCTCTCAAATCTATAAAATCCACCAGCTTCTGTGCATTGCCCTCATTATTATGCCTCAATGACGATGCAAAGGTCAGCAATCCAAATTTGAGGTCATCTGAACAAAAGGTGCCCCAGAAAACCCTCCCTGAAAAAAAAGACAAGAAAAGAAAAAAAAAAAAAGACAAGAAAAAAAAAAACCACTAAAAAAAAAAGGAGGAAAAAAACCCCACCAAGATAACAAACACCACAATCACCCTAATGGCTTCAGTTGTTTTAATTTCTTCCAGTCTTCTTATTCAGACCTGAAGGCGAAGTCTAAGTTCTGGCTACATCTTCACCAGCACTAATCCCAACAGAAGGCTCTACACCTCCATTTGAATGACTCTCAAGGGAAATAAAAATCTGCAATTTCCACCTGTAAATGGCAGAGCAGTAGGCACTTCAGCAAGGGCCACCTGTGCATAGCAAATCTATAAGGTGGCGCTTATAGAAAATATTACATGTACAAATTCTTGCTGGGAAAAGGAGGAGCTTAAGGGATGGAAGAATTGGGGCAATTGAAGAAACCAGATGACATGGAAAAGAGAAGAGAGGGTCGTGAAAGTAGTGGAAAAATATACTGCAACAGCCGATTAGGAAATAGAGGAAGGAAAAAGCAGCAACAGCTTCTGTCTGCTCTCCCATGTTGAAGTCTAGTAAGTCCATGAGGAGCAAAGGGACATCACAGCACAAGTTACCAGGACACAGAGCTACTACATCTGCCTGCCAATACAATGCTTTTGGATGCTTAAGCAATCATGACATATAAAGAGGGTTTATTTCTCTTCTCGGAAAATTGTTTTAAAAAAAAAAAATTTCCTACAATGAAAACTGGTCCCTGGTTTCTACAAAAGATTATGAACATAATCCAACACTAGTAGGTCCTGATTTAAGTGACAGTAGCAAAGGGAAATTACTTTCAGACTTTGCAGTGGCACTGCCTGTAGAGAAACCCAGCATATGCAATGCTAAAGGAATTAGACCGATAATCACGGCAAAGCTCTGACTGCTAAGAAAATAGTCTGCAAGGCCATGCCCCTGTGAAGGTAGCAATTACCCTTCCATGAACTGCATACAAGTAATCAGAGGAAAAAATACATACCTCAAAGGCATGTATAAACTCCTCACAGGACAGTGTGCATTTGGAACTGGCAAGACACAAGGGCCTTAATACCAGAAGCACTTTCTGCATGTTAAAGATTGCGCTCCGGTTTAGTTACAAGCAAAAAAAGAACTATAATTTTAAACTGCAACATCTATGTAAAGAGGAAAGTGCTACAAACCATGCCAACAGTGGTTGTAACGGTGTCCTGATGGTGGCATACACCAAATATTTTACTACCTGGCATTTGCAGGCAGCTTTGGTTCAAGTATAGACTACATACATCATGGTTTGTTGCTCCTTGTCCAAGGAGGCTTTGTCCTCCCTTGCCTAGTTTCTAGAATATTGACTTCTGCCAAACTCAGCCTTCTGCAAGAGCTGAAGAGTTCAAACAACTTTAATTTTTAATGAACCTGAGAATAAATGATTGCAATTACATACTTTAAAAAAATATTTTATCAACTTAAAATCTTGACGTGATGATGAATTTCGTACAGTCTCTAGTAAACCACTGCTACTTAACTGACCTCACTGCTTTGAATTCTGCATCTCATTTGACTTTCCTCTATTGCACTCTATAATAGCTATCTGCTTGATTTAACAAACCACTTGTACTTGGTTTGTTTTGATACAGTGACTCTTTTGTTCTTAAAAATGGACTGTTTTTTCTTCAGATATTCACGAGGCACTTGTACTCTGTCTTCAAGAGACAGCAGTTTGCAAACAAGCCTTTTAATAGCCACCCTTAAAGTATTATTCTTCTAATTTACAAAGAATCTGACATTGTGGGTCTTTTTTCTTTTTCCCTTTACATGTCTATCATTTTGTTCCTTACATCCTGCCTCTGTCCTTGGCCTAAAATGCCAGGGAGGTAACCTACGAACAATAAATCTGAATACACGCAGTTCGATGTGACTGCATCAACAGGTTGTCCATTAACTCTCCATACACATGAACACAAAAGCAAACATATCCCTTGATATTTCCAACGCACTAATAATAAACATAATTATAATAAAATTATAAATATTATAATTATTATAAGCAATATAAAATTATAATAAACAATAAGTTTAGACAATTTGCTTTCGTAATTTTTTGCACAAACAGAAGTTCCAATAATGCTCTAGCTGAAGTGAAATCTTTTACCTTGTTATAAAAGTTACATACCTTCTCCTGCAATTATACTGCAAGTTCAATTTTACAGTTTGGGGGGGGGAGGAGGGGTTGGTCAAAGTCTGCTAAGGGCACCTGAACAGGATGCTGCCACTCACGGTGAGGAGAGAGGTGGTCCATGTAGATGCATGTTTCATGTTTCCAACTTCTGGGAAGTTACACTCAAACGCCCAAATGTTCAATAGCGTTTCAGCACTATTCCTTGGACTTCTGTCCTGTGTGCACAAGTCATTGAAAAGGACACTTGCGACTAGAATTAGTGATATTTTTCCTGGCTAATTAAAAAAAGACTACTGTGAAAGTTAGATGGCACATCAACACAAGTAGATTTTAAGAACAGCTTTTCATCTTGTGCAGAGACCACAATTTGGGGGCTTTTCCACCTTCACTGAAGCCTGATGATGACCAAGATGTCTTGTCGAAAGACCATACAGATTTTCAAGGGATTAGTACAGAATAAGCCTCAAGGAATCAAAGTCAAGCAAGTTGTTGGCTAAAAAACAACAAAAAAAGCCAGAAACCAACAGACTGTACAAGACAGGAAAGATCTATTATTTTCAGGTGTAATATTATTTTTCTGAAAGTAATGACATTTACTCAGAAATGTTATCTGAGCTTGTTGGGAATTATTCAACATGTAGCTACAAAATGAGACAACAAAAATAAAAATTATAAAGCGCTGTAAACATTGTAACAATAGTTCTACACTAGACTATTCCTCTGTGAGGAATCCAGAAGCTGAAAATCTTCATTGGGCTGAAATAATAGGGAAGGGTTTGTTTTTACAGATCAGTCTCCACCGAAGGTGATCTTTCTATGGCAAGGGCATTACGAGGGATTCAGGTGCAAAAGCCATGAAATACGGAATTTGCAGTTTATGCTCTACTAAAGACAGCAGACCTGCAGTGCTCAGTGAGGACTCACTTATGAAATGATTTAACACATCTTGGGATTATTTTAGTTGAATGTGTCAGCAGAGCCTTTTTTTAAGGAGTCAGTGAATTACAACTGGTCTGGGAATAACCCGCATGTCAGCACACGAATCAGAAAACAGGATCTAGTAGAATGAAACCTGCAGCATTTTACATTTAGGAGTTAAAAGGCATTCACATCAGTTGCCAAAATGCAAGGATTACAAAACAAGGGTGTTGTTTACTTCCACCAGTAATATTTCAAATTTAAAAATTAAACTCGCAGCTAG